CCATTCCCATTCCCATCCCCATTCCCATTCCCATTCCCATTCCCATTCCCATCCCCATTCCCATTCCCATTCCCATTCCCATTTCCATTCCCATTCCCATCCCCATCCCCATCCCCGTTCCCATCCCCATTCCCATCCCCATTCCCGTCCCCATCCCCGTTCCCGTTCCCGTTCCCAACCGTCCGTGCCGTGCCCGCAGGCGCGAGGAGGAGCCCGTGCTGGCTGGAGCGCTTCAGCGTGCAGTTCCTGGGCTCCGTGGAGGTGCCCTTCCACCAGGGCAACGGCATCCTGTGCGCCGCCATGCAGAAGGTGAGCGCCCCGGCTCCCTGCCCCGGGAAATCCCTGGGTAGGGCACAGCTCCTGAAAAACCTGCCAGGATTTACCTGCTTGGGTGGGAAATTTAAATTTGTATGGCACAGCTCCTGAAAAACCGGCCAGGATTTACCTGCTTGGGCGGGAGATTTGAATTTGTGTGGCACAGCTCCTGAAAAACCTGCCAGGATTTACCTGGTTGTACAGGAAATTTAAATTTGTATGGCACAGCTCCTGAAAAACCGGCCAGGACTCACCTGCTTGGGCGGGAGATTTGAATTTGTATGGCACAGCTCCTGAAAAACCTGCCAGCACTCACCTGCTTGGGCGGGAAATTTGAATTTTTATGGTACAGGTCATAAAAAACCTGCCAGGACTCACCTGGTTGTGCAGGAAATTCAAATTTGTATGGCACAGCTCCTAAAAACCAGCCAGGATTCACCTGCTTGGGTGGGAAATTCAAATTTGTATGGCACAGCTCCTAAAAACCAGCCAGGTCTCACCTGCTTGGGTGGGAAATTTGAATTTTTATGGTACAGGTCATAAAAACCAGCCAGGATTTACCTGCTTGGGCAGAAAATTTAAATTTGTATGGCACAGGTCATAAAAAACCAGCTGGAATTTTCCTGCTTGGGCAGGAAATTTGAATTTTTATGGCACAGGTCATAATAAATTGGCCAGGACTTGCCTGCTTGGGCAGGAAATTTAAATTTTTATGGTACAGGTCATAAAAACCAGCCAGGATTTACCTGCTTGGGCAGAAAATTTGAATTTTTATGGCACAGCTCCTAAAAAACCAGCGAGGACTCGCCTTCCTCTAAGGAAATTTAATTTTTTTATGGCACAGGTCATAAAAAAGCAGCCAGAACTTGCCTGCATGGGCAGGAAATTTAAATTTTTATGGCACAAATTTTATATTTTATTTTTAAATTGTTATGGCATTAAATTGTTATGGCATTAAATTTTTAGGTTGTATCTGGCAGGGTTGTCAGCAGGTATTTTTATTATTATTTATTTATTATTATATAGATATTATATAGCATAATTGATATTATAACATTAATTCTAAATAACTGTATTACATTATAAGGATTAATTATAATGTTATATATTCATTATTTTATACGTAACATATTTTTATGGCACAGTAATATCTGATGGGGTTATCAGAAGGTATTTTTATTATTATATTTTAGTTATTATATAGATATTATACATCATAATTGATATCATAACATTAATTCTAAATAACTATATATTACATTATAAGTTTAATTATAATATTATATATTCATTATTTTATACGTAACACATTTTTATGGCACAGGTCACATCTGATAGGGTTATCAGAAGGTATTTTTATTGTTATATATTAATTATTATATAGATATTACATTTAATAATCAATATTATAACATTAATTATTTATACCTATATATTATATTATAAGAATTAATTATAATATTATAAATTCATTATTATTTATTATTTTTATTTCATTATTTTATATATAACATCATAATACATAATATAAACAATGTATTTAATAATATAATTAATGATATAAATAAGAACAAATTATTTAATACAATTAATATAAATATTTATGATTTATTGTTATTTAATAATAGAAAGAATAATACGATGATTTAGTAATACAGTAATATTTCTATAAAAACAAACACATATAATATTTCATACGATATAATTATTAATATGTATATTAGGATATTATTCTTGTCAGGTCTAATTGTAATTAACAACACGCTCCGCTGAGTTCTTTGGTATTTTGCAAATTTCTTTAAATTTCTTTATTTTTTGGTCCATTTCCACCCCTTTTCCCTCATTGTCATGAACAGATCTCTGCTTATTACAGGAGCAGCCTCTTTTCCACCCGGGAAGAATTTGTTATTAACCGAATTTTAATAATAATAATAATAATAATAATAATAATAATAATAATAATAATAATAATAATGGTCAGTTAATAATATGAAGTCACATAATAATAATAACAATAACAACAATTATAACAATGAAATAAAAGTAATTATATGAAAAGTCAGTTAGTAATATGAAAAGTCAGTTAATAATATGAAGTCACATAATAATAACAAGAATAACAATAATAACAATAACAATAAAATTAACGATATGAAAAGTCAGTTAGTAATATGAAAAGTCAGTTAATAATAATATGAAAAGTCAGTTAATGATAATATAAAAAGTCAATTAATAATATGAAGTCACATAATAATAATAACAATAATAACAATAATAACAATAATATCAATAACAACAATAACAACAATAATAACAATAAAAACAATAACAATAAAATTAATAATATGAAAAGTCAGTAATATGAAGTCACATAATAATAATAACAATAATAACAATAACAATAAAATTAATATTATGAAAAGTCAGTTAATAATATGAAAAGTCACCTTTGGGATTTCACCTTTGGGATTTTATCTTTGGGATTTTATCTTTGGGATTTCACCTTTGGGATTTTATCTTTGGGATTTTATCTTTGGGATTTTATCTTTGGGATTTCACCTTTTTGGATTTCAGCTTTGGGATTTTATCTTTGGGATTTCACCTTTGGGATTTTATCTTTGGGATTTTATTTTTGGGATTTCAGCTTTGGGATTTTATCTTTGGGATTTCACCTTTTGGGATTTTATCTTTGAGATTTTATCTTTGGGATTTCAGCTTTGGGATTTTATCTTTGGGATTTCACCTTTTTGGATTTCAGCTTTGGGATTTCACCTTTGGGATTTCACCTTTGGGATTTCTCCTTTGGGATTTTTTCTTTGGGATTTCACCTTTGGGATTTCATGTTTGGGATTTTATCTTTGGGATTTTATCTTTGGGATTTCACCTTTGGGATTTTATCTTTGGGATTTCACTTTTGGGATTTTATCTTTGGGATTTTATCTTTGGGATTTCACCTTTGGGATTTCATGTTTGGGATTTCTCCTTTGGGATTTTATCTTTGGGATTTCACCTTTGGGATTTTATCTTTGGGATTTCACTTTTGGGATTTCACCTTTGGGATTTCTCCTTTGGGATTTTATCTTTGGGATTTCACCTTTGGGATTTCACCTTTGGGATTTTATCTTTGGGATTTCACCTTTGGGATTTTATCTTTGGGATTTTATCTTTGGGATTTCACCTTTTCTAATGTTTTCTGTGTATAATTTCTCCTGTCCGGTTCCCGTTGCCGCTGTCCCGGTGCCCGGTGCCGGTCCAGCTTTACCCTTTATAATTTTTAATTTATACAATTGTTTCCTTTTACCACGTTTACCTTTTAGGATTTTATCTATTTTAATTTTTATAATGTTTAATGTGTATAATTTCCCCTGTCTGGTTCCCGTTGCCGCTGTCCCATTGTCCCGGTATCCCGGTGCCCGGTGTCCCAGTCTCTCTTTACATTTTATAATTTTAAATGTATACAATTGTTGCCTTTTACCACATTTACCTTTTAGGATTTTATCTATTTTTATTTTACC